GGCGCATGTACATAGTCGCTTTTTCGGGGCCGTAAAAAACGCGATAACGTTCAAACTACGGTTTTTTCCCCGATATATTTTTTTTTACTTTTTTGTTCAATTTTTTTTAGATTAATTGCTCTGTAAAAGCACTTAGGTAATAGTCAGCCATATTGAGGATATAATAATGATATATATAGATAAACGCATATAAAAATATATATATATAATATGGAAGATATATATATATATATATATAAAAGCATATATATATATAACTAGCATATATATATATGCTAGTTCTCTCAAAGCAATTTTTTGAAACAGTTGACATATCAGACAAATTCTAAAGATACTCTTCTTTACGAATGTGAAATATATAATATATGAAATATACATATAGAAAAAATACACTAACAAAATAATTAAAGTAACTGGAGTTATATAACTTATTTTTATCCATCTTATGAAATCTTGCAAATATTTTGTAACGCAATGTATTATATACATTATATATAATGTAAAATATGGGGTTTCTCTATATACCCAAAATTAGTTTGCATTTTATTCATTTAGAAATATATAATCAATTAATCGGGAGACGTAAAATATGAAAGTTTGGCAACTGTTTTATCCTTCCGTGAAATTGTAGGCATAGTACATTTCTTCTTAGCATTTTATCTACGTTTTATAAAATAACTTTGTTATTTTACAAAAAGTATATAAAAATTCTGATTGAGAAAATGTACTGCGTCTTAATCTTTGTCACTATATATATATATGCTTATGTTTATAAAAACAAATATACACATCTACATTATTAATAATTTTCCTATCTTGAATTTATTTCAAGCAGGAAGCATACCTATGTTTTATAATGCAATGGCAAGTATAGATTATATTGTAGCCACATCCGATTTTGTCACATCCACAGAAATTGTGTGACTAATTGTTGTGACATGTGCAGTCCCACTACTCTCACTATCACTGTTAACGATATTTAACGACGAGATTTTGGCCCGTTGATATGCTACAACAGTGTTCAAGCTCAAGAATCTGGAACAAGCGACTTTAATTGCATAAACTGAACAGTGCCAATGTTAAAATTTTAAAGAAGATTAGCATTTACTCCTACCTTATGCAGACGTACATAATCAATAATGCAGTTCCAGCTGCGAGCATTCTGATGATGGGCCCTTCTACAAGTTGAATAACTACCCATGCGGCAGCAGAAGATGCACACATCATGGTAACAATAGCAATAGTTTGTAAACAATGGCGTGGAGTTAAACTATTTTGCCAATCTAATCGACTGGCATGTTCAACATTGTATTTTGCATTGCAAACTTTACAAATGAGGCTGTCAGCATTGACAGAACTCTAAAGGAGAAAGAAAAAATGTAAAAATTACAATTTACAAAATGCAATGTGTTCAAAAAGCAACTTTTATCTAAAAAACATTAGACATAGTAATTATCTTACCTCGACAAGCCAACGACGCAAGCAATCATGATGTACAGCACTTACATCACCTCTACAATGGCACGGTTGTATTAATGGACCAGCATCTTGTCTATCACTATCATAACAAATCCAACAATCTTTGCTATTGATTGATGCTGCGTCTGTAGAAAGAAACGCAGTATCTTGGGATGTACTCTTTTCTTGCAGTTCAATTTCTTTTATGTGTTTCCCCTGATCCAGGTCCAATCTTTTCAATATACGCTTCGGGTTTAGAATCCACAATTGTTCCGGACTGAAAATTTAAAAAATGGAATTGTAAATATATGCAAGTATATTATAAAAAAAAAAAAAAAAA